TACTGAGGCAATGGTTAAATATTTTACCATTAAATAAAAAATGTCTGGTCTGTTATCCAAACTGAGCTGTATACATTTCTTTTTTTCTTATTAACAATTTTCTAAAATATACCTCTTTCATGTGAAATGAGATTAGATGCTGCCATTAGAAATCAGCTCTTAGCAGACATTGGAAGAAAAAGTATAGCTTTCTGCCCCGGTTCTGTTTTGGATCCAAGTTTACACTGTCCAGTTTGTTTCAGTGCCACAGACCAACTGGAGTATTTCCTTGACCGTTAAGTGTAGTTATTAGAATCCAATCATTCAAAAAAGAAACACTCGTCTGCAACACATTTAAAAGCCGGTGATCCTGCATCTTCCTTCATAGTACTGTAATGGTTCGTACACCCTCCCTTGATTGATACAACTCCACTGTCTTCTGCTTGAAGTTGTAGATTGACATGGGGGTTGCTTTTCTCGCGGACCCTATCCACGCGGCCGTAGGGGTAGATGCGCCGGAAGAAGCCTCCTTTTTTGCAATACAGCCGCTTCAGGTCCTTGAAGTGGCCGGGCTGGAAGACGCCGCGGTTGCTGCCCTCAGGCGGGGCGGGCAGCATGGTGATGCTGCCAGTGGTGACCAGGGGCCTGAACTTAAATTGCAGTTGGATATTTTGTTTCGGCAACGAGGAAAGTAACTAAGGCACCTGGCTTCATCTTTCAAGTTTAAGGGTTGTTCACCCACAATGAAAAATATGAGAGGGAGCAAATTAGGGGACTGTGGAAGGCCACTTTGTTAGAGATGGAGCAACACCACAGGTTATCTTAGAGTTGTGCTCCAGCTGCATGACATCAGAAAAGCTTAGGATACATTTGTAGTACATTTATGGTAGTTTATAATCTAGTTCAAAAAGTCTACTGAATACATTAGGAATGTCAATGGATTTCTCTACAGGTAGAGTTCTGCTGTGAAAACGTCAGAGTATAACAAAAGAAGAGTTCTTAGATTTGGAATACCTTTTCACTGTTCACCTTTGTTCAGCTTCCTATTGGGAAGGCTACTTTGTCAGTCAGGGTGAGCTAGATCGCGCTACAATAAGAAACCACTCTAAAATCGCAGAGGCTTACGACAACTCAGGTTTACTTATCACTCACAGTATATGACCAAAGTGGGTCAGCAGAGTTTAATCTGCCCCATACAGAGCTGGACTGGCAGAGGATCCACTCTCTTATAATGGCACCTTCTAGGACAACTTTTTGGCCACTATAACAGGGAAGAAAGTGTTCACACTGGAAACTAACTCTCTAGCCTAGAAATGATTCATGCCACTTCTGGTCACAAACCGTGGGTCACACATGGACATAAGTATGGCCTTGCCTAACAGGAAAGGGAGTGGGAAAATGTAATTTTCCTAGATTGCAACCAGAAGAGAATTGAATGTAAGTGAACGTTAGGACTCTCCATCACAAGTACTTTCCTCTTTGAGAAGCTCTCAGGTTATTTGTAAATTCATTAATTTATCAACAAAGATGCTCCTGACACCATGTATGTCCACAGTTGGATAAAATAGATGTTATCTCTGGCTTTGTGGAGCTTATGGCCTGCATTAGTGAATGTGCCATATCGTTTTAAGTGTGTATTTTGTTACTATTGTGTGGGATGTTCTATGTACGTCAGTTTGGCAGTGTTCAAATACGTTTTATTCTATTGAGTTTCTTATCTAGTTGTTCTGTCAGTTATTGAGAAAGGAGTATTAAAATCTCCAATTTTAATTGCTGAATGGTCAATTTCATTTTCATTCTGCCAGTTTTTGCTTAACATATTTTGAAGGTCCGTTGTTAGGTACCTAGAGATTTCTTTATTCTATCTCCCTCCTATACTTATTCTTTTTCATTATGAAGTGTCCCTCTTTTCCTAATAATACTTCTTGCCTAAAATCCATTTTATGAGATATTAATATAATGAGTCTAGCTCTTCTATGATTACTACTTGAACAGTGGATCTTTTCCCATTAGTTTACCTTAAGTGTATTTATGCATTTATGCTTAAAGTGTGTGCCACATAGTTGGATCTTGCTTGTTAAATTTGGTTTGATAATATTTGCTTTTTGATTGGAATTTTTAAAGTTGCATTTAATGTAATTATTAATATGGTTAAGTTATGTCTGACATTTTGCTGTTCATTTTTTCCCTATGTTTTTCCTTTATTGCCTCCTTTTGTGTTAATAAATGTTTTTGTGTACATTTTGATTCCTTTACTGATTTTTCTTATTTTCCTAGTGCTTGCTCCAAAGTATGTACATTTAAATAACTTCAGGTTAATACTGGCTTAATTCCAGCAAATTATAGCGGTTTTGATCTAAAACAGCACCATTTTCTTCATTTTTGACTATTGTCAAATATATTTTGTCTACCTATGTTATAAACCCAACACTACATCTTTATAGTTACTGGAGCTGGTACTTTTTCTTCCTTCCTTCCTTCCTTCCTTCCTTCCTTCCTTCCTTCCTTCCTTCCTTCCTTC